ACTAAATTTCAGGGAATAAAAAAAATCTAAGCAGAAAACTCTGACCTTGAAGTGATATTTATCCATAAATTCAAACATTACATAAGTGTCCACCAGATACTATATGCCTTGCTAGCAAGAGAGGATAAAATGAACAAAACACTACACTTAATTTCAGGAGTTTAGGAAGACACATTAAATCCGTATTCCGGTAAGTCCGAGAGGCACCCAGTGTAATAAGGCAATACTTAGGCATGCGACAATGCTAAAAGTGATGTAAGGCTACCAGAAATGAACCATATATTCCACGTGTATTTCCCAATTTTGCCTAAAGCCAGGTCTGCTTCTCCACTTCCACTAAGGTAATTTCCTATCTCTTTTAAAGAAATATAAGGACTCTCCGGGTTTGAGAGTTCTCATAAGATTCGTTTCCCCCAAATAGTTTAGAAGTAATGCATAAAGAAGTGGAAGCAATGTTCATTTGAATGTCTAGCAGTAAAAGGAAGGAGAAAGAGAGGGTAATATATAATGATACAGACTGAGAGCTATGTTCTTTTTCAGGAGCTTTGCAGAATTTGTTTTCTGTCATTTAAGATGGGGATAAAAATTCTTGTTCAATTATGAAGCTGCATATAATCCAGTGATATAATCAATATGAAAAGCTTTAAAATTATAACCCATTATACAAATTTAAGTTGATTTTATTATTATGTTTATGGTCAAAAGAGATGGAGCCAATAAATAAATAAATGCCAAGGTGTTAACATTATTAAGAAGGCAGAGTAGAAGGAAAAAGTGGAGATTAACAGAAAGATTGAAGTAGAGATAAAGATAACTGAGGATAATTCCATCCACAAATGACTAACATTTTCTCTGACGAAGTGGAATATGACATCATATATAGAAAATGAGAAGGAGAAGTAGAACTTAGGTTGGACTGTGTGTTACAGAATCAACAAGAGAACAAAATGATCAAGCAGCACTGAAGGTCAAATTGAAGCTAGAAAGGATATATTTATAAAGGCCCAGGTAAAATGGGTTCTATAAATCTTTCCAGAAATACTCTGCTGTTACTAGATGTATGTCCATTAATTTATTCATACACTAATTACACATGGCATCATTGATTTTTCAACCTTCACTCCCAAAGCCCCTGCAATGGACTGAATTGTATCTCCCTAAAATTCAGATGTTGAAGCCCTAACTCCCACTTGACTACATTTGGAGTAAGGAATTAAGGTTAAATGAGGTCATATAGGTGAGGACCTAATCTGAAAGGATTACTGTTCTTTGACACCGGAGTTTGCATTCTCGCGCACCCTCCGTCTCTGCCATGTGAGGACAGGTGAAAAGGCAGCCGTCTGCAAACTCGGTAGAGAGCTCTCACCAGGTACCAAACCGGCTGGCACCCCGATCTTGTACTTCCCAGCCTCCAGAACTGTGAGAAAATAAATTTCTCTTAAGTCATCCAGTCTATGGGTATTTATTATGGTAGCCCAAACTAAGCCCTCATTTAAAAACAAATATTTTGTATTGCCTTCTTTTATATCTTGAAATGAAATGTATTAAAAATCAGCGAATTGTCTTAACTGTAGTAAAAAGAGAAATTAATGGGACATGACCTAAAATATGCACTTCAATACATAAATGCTCAAGTATGACTACTCTAGAAAACATTATGGATGCTTGCACTCACTTACATAAATAAGTTTGGAGTTTTAAAATGTAAGAAGATCATAAGTCATTCCATACAAGAAAACCAGGAAAATAAATGAGCTGCCATATACTTCATCACAGTGTAATACTACACCGTATATTTTTAACAAAGTAAAGTATAAGCTTTATAATATACTTGTATTCCTATAATATATGATGTATTTCAAAACAATGTAAAGGTACTCTGTGTTTTATGTAGAGCTAGATTTGTTCTCATAATTATGAACATGTTTTTCACCTCCATTATGGTTGGTGAGACAGCTGAAAGCCACACAGGACATAAGAATTCCTCACTGTTTGGCATTGTCCCACTATTACAGAATACCTAGCATCCCTGATCATTAAACATCAAGAGTACTTCCCCTAAATGACTGCAATAATGGTACCTGTTAATGTCTAAAATGCCACCTTGACAGTGGTACAATCTCCACTGAGAACCCATGTGCTAAATGAATGCCTATGACACAGGCATATGGAACTACCATACATTGGAGAGAAGAAGCCAATGATTCGGGGGAGTAATGGTAAAACAGAAAAGAAGCAGTGAAAAGAATACAAGCATTTATGAGAAGAGCCGGTTATCAGGCATCCAGGGTAAAGAGAGTTGAGTTTGGCCAAAGAATAGATAATGATCAAACAACTACAAATCTTAAAAAGGGAGGCAGTAGATATGATAGATAAGGAGAAGCAGGAAAAATAGAAAAGTAAGGATGTTAAAAAGCCATTATCCCTCAGTACGCACCCTCCATTCAAATGAAGCTAGTAGTTTCTCTATTCCCCAGGACACTGTACTTATTCCAAATCCCAAGACTTTTTTATATTGCCTATGCAAAATATATTTCTCAACAGAATTCAGGCAAAGTTCCACTTTTCCAGAAATTTTTTTGCAAGCACTCCCACCTTTATGACTTTTTTCCTTGTAGAAATCCTAGTGTTCTACTGCCTGAATATTAACCAGCTACTATGTGCCTATAAGAAGATTCTTTATTCTTTCCATAGAGAATATAGCAGTGTTCAATGCTATATATGCATTTCAATGAAAATCTACCCCTTGAATATAAAAATAATCCTGTGAGTTTACTTACCACCCACTGCCTTACAAGGATAGTATGAATGATCAACTTCTACTCTAACCCTAAAAGCGAAGAATCCAGAGATGAGAGTGGGAGAGAAATAAAGATGGGTAGAAGTTCAGTTCTTTCAAAAAGAATTCATGTGGAAAAGAGGATTGTAAATATATACACCTATCTTTAAATGGACCAGCCAACATAAAGCTAGATTATAGTCGCTTTAGGATAAAGATTAGTGTCCTGTAAACTTTATCCCTGTCTCTCCATTCTGTATTTTTATATATTTGGTTTACTTGTTTTCTCTTAATAATCCACTCACACAGGGTGCCTGGGTGGCCCAGTTGGTTAAGCGTCCAACTCTTGGTTTCGGCTCACGTTGTGATGGAGTTGGGCTCCACACTCAGTGCAGTCTGTTTGAGATTCTCTCTCCCTCTCCCTCTGCCCCTCCCGCTGTTCTCTCTCTCTCTCTTAAATAAATCTTAAAAAAAAATTCGCTCACACAATACACATATATTAGGAATCCACACCATATATCAGATAACATGCTAGGTACTATCAATAAGCAAGATCAATAAGGTCCCTACCATCCTGGAACTTAGAGATTAGTAAAACAAGCAGATTTTAAACAAAGATGCAAATAAAGATGAAAATAAATATATGATTATAAATTGTGAAGCATAATTTGAAGGAAAGGTACAAAGACAGGCTTATCCCTTAGGTAGACCAACTAGGGTGGCTTCCCTGCAAGGTAAGGAATATTGTGCTTTTTGACCTATGTGTGTGCACACACATATATATTAGACACATCAGTGTGCTTGTACGTGTGTGTGTGTGTGTGTGTGTGTGTGTGTGTGTGTGTTTGAAATACAGTCCACATAACAGGACAGGTCTGCACCAGGTGAATTATGCCAAACACACACTCCTCTAGCAGCAGCCTTAAACAAGGGTGCAACCATATACACTCACTGTACGAGGGACGGTTCCACCAATACAGTTGCTGTACTCATAGCCAATACTAGCGGTTCTCAAATGCCAGTCCTCAAACACTAGATGGCAAGACAGCTGCACCAGAATCACTGGGAAAGGTGTTAAAAATGTAAAAATTTCCAGCCTCCATTCTCAACAATTCAATTTAGTACCTGGAATGAATTTTTATAAAGTTCCACCTAGATGATTCTGATACCATTAGATTTGAGCCCTTAGTCATACAATGCCTTGATTCATTACCTTAACTGTTCCATATTTCTTTTATCATGCTCAAAGCATGGCAAAGTACTTAAATTATGCTGTTCAGTGCCAGTAGACACAAAAGATTGTTTTCAAGTAAATAAGCAAAGGTATTATAAGGACAGCAATATTTTTTGTTTTTGTTTTGTTTTCTCAAATACAATGATACTCCTTATCAAAAAGCTTTCACTTAGGAATAGAAAAGACAAACTCTGAGGTGATGCTTCTCAAAATGGAGAACACAAACTACTAGTGGTATGGCAGATAATTTAATACGGTACCCAAAGTGATTTTAGATGATACACAGGATTATTTTACATGGCACATGGACATATACTAAATAACACTGAGTTACAAGAAAAAATGTATTATCTTTTCAATTCTCTTTCAGTCAGAAATCCTCAGTTAGCTATTGGTATGTTTCCTACACCTCTCTATCGTTGGTTATCTCATTTTAAGAAATAGAGAACATGCCTCAGAGCCTTTGGAAAACAACCATTATTTAGCCAGAACTTTGTAACATTGTTTTGTTTTCACTGTATCCTTTAGAGCTATCATCCATTTAAAGCATGGGATACTGATTTTTCATTTATAGTAGTGAGTTGAATAAAAAGGTGAATTTAAAGAAAATAGCACAAATTGCATGCAGATATTGTAAAAATTATAAGGATGCTCTATGAATGAATTTGAGAAACAGTAATGTGCAAGGTATTACTAAAGTAACAACCAGTTTCTCTATGTCTCTCACACACACATACACACATTCAATAATTAATCTAAATGAATAATCAAAAGCCACAAATTGTTGTATGAAGACATTCAATGAAAAGTCCATGCTACCAATTGACATTGTAGCCAAAATAATGATATTCCATGATATGACAATATTGTTTGTGCATTTTCTTGACTAAATGATAGTGATAATCTCTGATCATATGTATAAGAAATGTGCATATGCTTTTATGTGAAAGCCAGAACAATTTCATTCTGTAATTTATACTTACATACCTTATAATCCTTGGGTCGGTAGCAGCCAAGATGAGAATGATCTGAAAAAGGATGTACAAAAGAATTAAATTATAAATATTTCATATCAGAAAGAAGAAAATTTGGTTTCATCTTTGGTTTTTGCTATGATTTCTATGTTTCTATGTTTATAATTTCTTTGATTTCTATGATTATAATTTCATACAGTTTTCAAAAGTATCTTAAAATCCCTCAACAATGCCCTATAAGTAAAGATGATACACAACAAGTTAAAATCTGTATCCATTCTTCAATAGTTAGGTGATTTCACAAATAATGTTTTCATTAGAGCTGGAGATATCAGAATATAGACCAGAATAATTTTTTGTTGCTAAACCAATCTGCCTACATGAAATGGATAATCTTTAGTAGATAAAGTAATTTCTGATGAAATATAATTTGAACATATAGATATGATAGGTATTGCCAAACTGCATGTGTTCCCATTCTTGGGAGTCCACATTAGAGTCAAGTGAGTATAAAGGCAAGAGGACCAGCTTTAGATTATGGTAGCAGAGGTGTACAGACCTTGTTGACAAATAGATCCATACTGCAGTCCAGTCACCAGCACCTCCTGTATAACCTTAGGCTCATCATTTAACCTTTCTAAGTCTCAGATTCCTCCTGTGTCTCACGTACCTCTTTCATAATTGTTTTAAATAGTATATGAAATATTACATGTAAGCAATAAAATAAATGTTAGCTACTATTACTAACTTCGTCGTCAACATCGTTACTCTCAAGTTCTAAGTCAAACAAGCCTAGGTGCAATTTCTGATTCCACCACTTACCAAATATATTACTTTGGTCAAGTTATATAATTAATCTGTGTTTCAGTCCTCATTTTTTTAAATATTTATTTATTTATTTGACATAGAGAGAGATGGCGAGAGCAGGAACCACAAACAGGGGGAGTGGGAGAGGGAGAAGCAGGCTTCCTGCCGAGCAGGGAGCCTGACATGGGACTCGATCCCAGGACCCTGGGATCATGACCTGAGCCGAACGCAGACGCCCAATGACTGAGCCACCCAGGCACCCTTCATTCCTCATTTTATTTTTTATTTAAAAAAATTTTTTTTGTTATGTTAATCACCATACATTATTTGTTTTTGATGTAGTATCCCATGATTCATTGTTTGCCTATAACACCCAGTGCTCCACTCAGCACGTGCCCTCTTTAATACCCATCACCAGGCTAACCCATCCCCCCAAACCCCTCCCCTCTAAAACCCCCTCAGTTTGTTTCTCAGAGTCCATAGTCTCTCATGGTTCATCTCTCCCTCCGATTTCCCCCCTTTCATTTCTCCCTTCCTACTATCTTCTTCTTCTTTTTTTTTTTTTTAACATATAATGTATTATTTGTTTCAGAGGTACAGGTCTGTGGTTCAACAGTCTTACCCAATTCACAGCGCTCACCATAGCACATTTAAAAGTGTGAAGACAATGCCTACTTTGCCTCAGAGAGTCATAGTAATGATTAAATTATACCGCTTAAGAAAGTTCCTAGCATAGTATCTGTAACAAAGTAGATTATAAAACTATTCTCTCTCCTGGGATAAGGACCACTATACTGCAGATGCAGATTTTGGGTTTTCCTCATTACTTAAAGGAGTCAACATTTAAGTATTATAATCTCTGTATATTGACATTCAAGCAAATCAGAACCATAATTTGCAATTCTACTTCCTTACACATTCTAGTCAAAAGCATTCTAACATTCTATATTTTACTTTCCCAAATCACCTTATCCAAAAAAAAAAAAAAAGAAATGATTATATAGATAGAGACCTAGGATAGTCAACAGTCAATTAATTAGCTTTCTTTTATGGCACAAGATCTTGTTTGTTTTCCAAGTGTCCTGAACCATTACAGAGAATAGCTGAAACATTAATGTCTTTCACATAAGGCCAACTTCACCATTTAAGTCAGTAAGACTCAACTTACTTCAAGTGCTTTTCAAAATTAAAAATAAAAATAAATCCCAGCTCAACTCCTTTTCCATAAGGTCTAATAATGTATGGCATGGCCACAGCAGCAGAAATAAAAGAATGATACAGACATAATGAACCTAATTCTCCACACATGCTAACTTTGAAAATTAAGGTAATAATTTCTGTACTTGGTATATATTCTTTCTGGCAGCTAATGTAATATTAAAAGTACCAGTATATTAAAATGTCAATATGTCTTCTGCTTTCCACAAACCATTTGTAAACCTACCCTAACAGAGATAAGATTTATAATTTTCTTTTATTTTGAAATCCAGCTGTTACTGAGGTTCCCAATGTTTGCACTTCATCACCCTTACCAATAATTACTCACTATATGCTAAAAGCAGGAGATAAAGGAGATAAAAGTCATGGCCCACGCACAGGAAATGCTTGTAATTTACTTCGGTTAAGTTATACAAAGTTGGGTAACAGCAGCATAAAAGAAGAGGCTAAGTCAGAATGGTACAGGCAATTAATGCTATTTAAAAAAGTCATATCAGAGATTAATCTCTCAAGGTTGAAGACAATCAGAGAAAACTTCCTAAAGGAGGAGAAAGCTGACCGGGCCCTTAATGGATGGGTTACACTTAAGAAAAATATGAAGAAAAATTAGAGCTAACTCAGATTGTGCGTGTGCATGTGTGTGTGTGTGTGATCTCGATCACCTTTGACTTTACTTCTTTATACCTCATTTTTTTTGATCTGTAAAATGGAGATAAATAATAGTATCTAAAATTCTTGATTACTGTAAGTAACCAATGAATATTAGTATTTAGAATCAAGGCCAGCAGAAAACACATTCAATAAAGGTTAGCCATTACCTGGTTCTCGAATAACTGCATGAAACAGAATAGGTGTTATGGACTGAATGTTTGTCTCCTCCCAAAATCTATGTTGAAGTCCTAACCCCCAAAGTGATGGTATGTGGAGATGGGACTTTTGGGTAGTAACCAGGATTAGATGAGGTCATGCAGGTAGGTCCCTCACGATGGAAAGAGCACCCTTCTAAGAAGAGACAGCAGAGAGCTTGCACGTGCACATGTGCTCGCATGCTCCCCCCCATCTCCTTCTCCACATGTACACAAAAAAAGGAGGTCATGTGAGCATACAGTGAGATGGCAGCTTTCTACAAATCAAGAGAAGAGGTCTCAGAATGAAACCTACTTTGCTAGCACCTCAATTTGGGACTTCCCAGCCTCTAGAATTGTGAGAAAAATAAACGTCTCCTGTTTAAGTCCCACCTATGGTATTTTGTTATGGTAGCCGGAGCGGACTGATAGAACACCTAAGGCAAATGGTTATTTCTACTTTACATTTCAGGAAGCTGACTTCCTATATAGCCAAAAGTAATGGAACTAAGGTCTTTGATTAGTTCACACAAGAGAATGAAAGTGCCTTTAGTCTCAAAAATGACATCAGATTCTGAATTTAACAAAATGGATGTGATATATAATCAAATTAGTTAAATATCAAGTAGTGACTAACTGTATGGGTTAAAAATAAATGTGGCAATCAGTCATCAAAATATTTCCATAGCAACCATCTAATATAGAAACTAAGATCGACTTTGTACAAAGGTCACCATTCCTGCTGGGAGTAGTCTGGTAACTTAGAGCCTTTGCATCCTTCCTCTCGCCACAGCTGACCCTCACTCAATAGGCTCAAATATGACTCAGTCCTAAAGGACCAATCCTGACTTTAACCAAGAAGGATTTAAGGAACTTTAATCTAAAACTTAGCATCCCTGTATCAGTTCATCCTTTCTATCAAAGTAATTCTTGAGCCCCATTCTGATTATTATAGTCAATATGTGTTCCCTATGAATCAATCCCTATTCTGGCAACCTCGATAGTACCTTAAATTGAAGGGTACTATCATCTTCCTTTTTTTTGTAATTTTAAGGAATTGAACCCCATTCTGGTAGTGAGTGCTACTACTATTGCAAAACATCTCTGCTGATGAATGTGTGTACCAATGAACCTCCAAAGAGTATGCTCCTGGAGTCCTTTATCAGTAATTACCCTATTGTTATCCTAAGGCCCATATAACATCCTAAGGTTGACCTCTGCTCTCCTGTGAATCTTCATGAAGCACACAGCCATGCATTTGCTATATGCCAGTCCCTATAACTGGAAGCAAAGCTAAGATGACCAGTTTTATAAAATAAAACCAGGGTTTAATATCTCTTAGGGGATCACACCTTCTAAAAAGGAAAAACATATAACATGTGTTTTCTGTCTCTTGCTCACCTGTGATACCTTCAACAGAAACTGTTTACTCTGACCTCTGATGTTTTCATCTTTCTTATTTCTATTGTTGTCTGACGTCTCATCAGCAAAAGTCTCAGACTTTCCCCCTCACTATTTTTTTCTTGTCTGAAGTTTAGCAAACAGCAAACTTATCAGTGACTGAAGAGTGATGATCATGAAAAAAGATAAATTAATGTCTAATAAGCACATGAAAAAACATTCAATGCCATTAGTCAAATGTAAATTAAAGTTTCAGTGAAACAGGACTGCCTATCCACTAGAATGGTTAAAATAAAGGCAATAACAAGTGCTGTGGAAGATGTAGAGAAACTGGACCATCATACACTGCTGGTGGAAATGTAAAATGGTAGAGCCATGTTGGAAAACAGCTGGCAATTTTTTAAAAAGTTAAATATAAACTTACCATATGAACTGGCAATTCCATTCCTAGGTATCCAAAAGAAATAAAAACATGTGTCTATGCAAAGACCTCAGTGCAAATGTTCAAAGTAGCATCATTCATAATGGCCCAAAGTGGAAACAATCCAGGGACTCAAGGTGAGAATACAGATTTACTGCAAATGGGTATGAGGAAACTCTTTTGGATGATAAAAATATTCTAAGAATGGATTGTAGAGATTTTATAACTGTGCAAATTTATTTAAAATACTTCAGTTGTGCACTCAAAATAGGTGAATTTTATGATATATAAATTATAGCTCACTAAAGTTAAAAATGTTTAATAAATAATAGGAAATCAAAAAGGAATTCCTAAAATGACACAGCCCAGCTGCCTACTGCTCTCTGAGATGAGGCACACATTTAAATACAAACAAGATATTTTGCTAATAACTATATATACAATGACTATTTGCTATTTTACTCAGAATAGTAAAATGTTACCATTTATTGTTCTCTATTCAAGTAATGACATATTAGGTTTTGGAATGTAATTTCCAATTTATTTTACTTTACAAACAATAACCACCAAACAAAGAGATTAGCAGAATCTCATAAAAGATTACAATCTTAGGTAGAAATGAAACTCATAAAAGAATCTTCAAAATAAAGGGAATAAGAGAAGTTTCCTCCAAGGGGGAGACAGAATCTAACATCTTTTCATATTCTAAGCAAATAAAAAAGGGGCCAGGATGATGCCCTCAATTTCCTCTTCAAAAACACCAGTGACTGGATAAAGCTTACAAACATTCTTGCAGCACAAGACGTGCCAGATCTCTTCAAAAGGACTGCACAAATTACAGTTAGAATGATATACTATGGAAATTCCAGATAAAGAAAATGTGCGTGAAAAATTTATCTTAAAAAAAATACATCTAAATGGAAATAGAGAAAGTGGGAGGAGAGTGGTGGGAGGGGTTGGGGCGAGAAACGCTGGACCCCAGACCAACCAGGGCTATTCTGGAACTCTCCAACAAGCCACTTAACCTGTCTAGGCCTCTGTCATTTTTCTTGATCAAATACACTTAAATTCATCCTCATGTGATTATTATGATGACTAAAATAGTCAATGGTGGTGAAGTGGTATCCTATAAAAACTTAAGAATTTTTAGGTAGGATAATTTGGCAAGAAAAGGTTTAAGAATTTCCATTAAAGTCACTAATGAAAATTCACTCTAACATAATAAGAGATTCTATCATAAGAAATTCCCATATGTATTTCAATAGCTGATGAGACTCCAAAACATAACCACCAATTGCCAGACAGGAAAAAAAAAGGCAGTCAAAAGAATAGGGACATTAAAAGTAGAGAAATGAGATGAAAAAACTCCTTATAGTAGAAGGGCAAGTAATAAATGTACAAAGAATAACGGAATTTTTAAAAATCACTATTTGGCAAACTTTACAGTAACAAACTTTTTCAAGCAAGAATCATCAATGTATGCTAAAGGGATCAAAGTTGAGGTGACAGGATATAATAGTCTCAAAATATCTCCCCCTTAACCACAAAGGGAAGAGATAGCACCTTTATGATGGAGAAATCTAGCAGACCCCATCTTAATTAATGAGCAAAGGAATATCACCAGTAACAAAGCAGTATCACATGTTTCCTGACATGTTGCACTGAGAGTAACACATCACATCTGTTGTATTCTGGAGGGAAATGAATAATCTAAATTTAATCATGAGGGAAAATCAAACAAGCCCAAACTGAGGGACATTCAACCAAATAACTGGCCTATACTCTCCAAAATTATCAATGTCAAACACAAAGAAAGATTAAGGAACTGATCCATTTTAAAGAAAACTAAAGAGACATGTTAAACTGAAGAGCATGCATGATGTGCAATTTCTTTTGCTATAAAGATATTATGAGGACAAGCAGCAAAATCTGAGTTAGGTTTATAGATTAGTTACTATTATTATATCATTGTCCATTTTCTGCTTTTCATAATTATATCACATAATATCTGCATTAGTCTCCCTGGGCTGCCATAACAAATACCATATAGACTTGGGGGCTTTTACAACAGTTCTGGAGGCTAGAAGTCTGAAATCCAGGTGTCAGGGCAGTCAGGTTCTGGGGAGAGCTCTAGTTCTGGCTTGAAGATGGCTACCTTCTGCCTGTGTCCGCATGAGGCAGAGAGAGAAAGCAAGATTTCTGGTTTCTCTTCTTATAAGGGCACTGATCCTATCATGAAGGCCCCACCCTCCTAACCTTATCTAAACCTACTTACTTTTCCCCATTTCCAAATACTACATTTCAGGTTAGAGCTTCAACATAAGAATCTTGGAGGGACATAATTCTGTCCATAGCAATGTGCTTGTCAAAAAAAAAAAAAAAGTTTATATACAAACATACATACAGAGGTGGAAGTTGCGGGGGGGTAGGGAGGAGATAAAGAGGGAAAACCAAATATTAGTATTTGCGGATTCTGAAAGTTATATGGGGATTCTTTATCCTATTTCAACTTCTCTGTAAGTCTAAAATTATTTCTAAATAAAAAGTTAAAAGAAAAAAAGCAGACCTCACTATTGACCTCTCTGATTGTACCTCTACATAGGTAGCTGACTGTGGCGATCAAAAGTTACTGGAAACTCTAACAGTTCTGCTGGCAAATACATAATAATTATCGAGAGAAATCAGACGCCTCAGTGCATTCTAAAAGCATCTTCCAAAGGAATATCTATATTGAAGTTATTTTCGATTTTCTTGTTCTTAAACCTTTTTTTCCATGTCCATAAATTTCTTCCAAGAGGGGAAACAGAGTATAACATCTGTCCCTAATTTCATATAATCTGCTATTGTGGTTATAAAAGACCTAGTGACTACCACATCTATCTCCCTGCTAATGCTAAAAAAGCAAAATAAATGAGCACAAACTCTGCATGTTCTCAGAGAAGAATGTTTCATTTTCCCATCTAAAAAAGAGTCTATACATGCAGCTCACTACATGTTATGATTGTGTTTTTTTCACTGTCTCATTTTTCTTCTTCTATGCCTTTTTCAGTATGTAGTGAATTAACTTAAAGGCTGATGGGAAATGCTTGCTGAACCGACTAACCAGTGATTATAGATATTAACACTCAAATATCCCTAATCATATAACACTATTTAATCTTCTTTGTAAAAGTCATCTTCAGATTGAACTTAAGAAATAATTTATCTAACCATTAGAACCAGGGCCTATGATGAAAAAAAGATTCTTGTAAACTAAACTTAAAGGACATTATCTTTTCAGAAATCTAAGTATTATTATAATGACAGTGGATCTTAAGGCCTGTGTGCTAGGGCATTTTACATGGTCATACTTACTGTGTTATCTTCATTCTTTAATATATTGATTATCAAAGTAGTTAAAATGACTTGTTCAAGAATGCCCAATTTATAAATAAGTGACAGAGCAAGTATTCAAATATATGTGTAAATGTATGTCCAAAACCCATAACCTTGAACATTTTTTACTGTGGTGTTTCCCAAAGCCTATTCCACAAACTAAGGAGTATATGTTAAAGCAGGAAAATGGTTCCATAGTCCAATAAATTTAGAAATTTTTGAGCAAAACAAAACCAGGTTGTTTTTTTCTTCACTAGAAGGTTATCAGTCTTCAATATGCTACTATGTATTTTGAATCTCAAAGAGGGAGATTAATTTATAGAAGCATAGAAATTCTATTATTTTTAGAGAGTACCTATATGGGTATCTCACAAGTTGTAAAAAGTAGCACTATGCCTTATTATCCAATAACACAGCAAAGAATCTATTTTTGTTCATTGACGCCAAGTGAAAGACTTGACTGTACCAAGGAAACTAAAGTAATGAAGAGAGACAACTTTTAAGTTACCATTGTGCATCCTAGACCATCCATCTCTTTCACAGTCTCTGCCAGAAGATCCAAATAAAACATCAGCCCTGGGACTTGGGGGGTCGACCTAGAAGAAGCAAGATTGAAAGTCAAAAAGAAATTAAATGTTCTTTCAGTCTCATGGCACCTGAAAATCAACTCAAGTACATAGACTGTAGTCATCAGGTTAACACGACAGTGCCTGTGTGGTTCAGGCATGTTCTGAAGCCAGAGCTTAGCTGAGTATTTTGCTGTTCATGTTTAAATAAAATTGAAATTAAACTCCAGAATTTTTTAATTATAAATTTGAGTCTATTTTAAAATTAACAAATTTACAGTTGAAATCTCCATTACCCCATTGCCCAGTTGGCTTTCCATTACAAAACTACAAAAAGAGGAAGCTATTTTGCCACATTTAAAAAGCAAGTTTAGCCATTTGCTACTTAGATAGATGCTGAATTCAAACAGTGTCTTTACTTGGCTATGTTCAGGGCCCAGCACGCTTAGTGCTTTATAGCTTACAGATTGTTGCAGCTAAGCATGTTTTCTAATGAAAAAGAAAAAAGAGTGATATAAACTGTAAAAAAGATAGCTCTATTGATCAACATTAAAAACTTTGTACATAAAAGGACACTATTAAGAGAGTGAAAAGCAAACTATTTAATAAAAAATATACATATTTTCAAATAATTATCTGATAAGGCATTAATATCCAGAATATATAAAGAAACTTCTACAACCCTGAAAAAAACTCCTCAATTAAAAAGTGGGAGAACTTAAATACACATTTCTCCAAAAGATATACAAATGACAAATAAGCACAAGAAAAAATACTCAATATCACTAATTATTAGGGAAATACAAATCAAAATCATAGTGAGAGATACTACTTCATGATGTGAATATAATTACTGCCTCTGAACTATACACTTAAAATGGTTAAAATGGTAAATTTTATATTGTGTATATTTTACCACAATTTAAAAAAATTAAATTTTAAAAAAAGGTGAAAAGACAAGCCATAGAATGAAAAAAAATCTTTACAAATCATACCTGATAAGGATTTAGAATCCTAAATATATAAAACAAACTTACAACTAAATATAAAAAAGTAAAAAAAAAAAACAATTAAAAATGGACAAAGAACTTGAATAGACATTTCTCCAAAGAAAATATACAAATGGCTAAAAGCACATAAAAAGATGTTCAACATCATTATTTATTAGGGAAATGCACATCAAAACTATAATGAGAAAAAAAAGCCATAATGAGAGACCAATCCACACCCTCTAGGATGGCTATAATAAAAAGAAAACAAAACAAAATAGTAAGTGTTAGTGAGAATGTGGATAAAGTGAAACCCTCAAACATTGCTGGAGAGAATGTAAAATGGGACAGTCACTGTGGAAAACAGTTTGACAATTCCTCAACAAGTTAAACACAGACACGCCACATGACCCAGCAATTCCACTCCTAGGTATTAAAGCAATTAGGCATGAAAACAGATACTCAAATGGAAACTTGTGTATGAATGTTCATGGAAGCACTATTCACATAACCAAAAGGTGAAAGCAGCCCAATGTCCATCAACAGATGAATGGACAAACAAAATGTCATATATATCCATACAATGAAATATTATTCAACCATAAAAAGAACCAAGGACTGATACATGCTATAACATGAATGAAACTCAAGAACACTGTGCTAAATGAAAGATGCCAGACAGAAAGGTCTATGTATTGTAGGATTCCACTTAGATGAAAAGGCAGAGTAGGAGAATCCATATAGGAAGCAGATTAGTGGTTGCCAGGGGCTGAAGAAAGGGAAAAATGGTGAGTGAATGCTTAATGAGTATAGGGTTTCATTTCGGATGATTGAAAAAGTACTGGAACTAGATCGTAGTGACAGTTGCACAACATGTACTTACTGCTACTGAAATTATACACTTTAAAATGGCTAAAGTGGTACATTTTATGAGTATTTTACTGCAATAGAAAAAAAAGATCCTATTCTGTATCAAGGTAAAAGAAAATAATTCTATTTACCTTTTCTGGGATGGTTGTGCTAGTTTGTTTGGGAACATTCTAGTTAGTTTCTTGAAACTGCTCCTTACTATGTGAGACTGTTTTTCACACAATGTATGTAAAACTAGAAAGTCTTTTCTAAAGGTATTAACTTTTTACATATGCACGTATGAAATTATTTTTTTTGAGAGACGAGGGAGGGAGGGAGAGAGAAAGAGAGATAGACAGCGTGCACGCAGGAGGAGGGAGGGGCAGAGGAAGAGAGAGATAATCTTAAGCAGACTCCATGCTCAGCATGGAGCCCGATGTGTGGCTCCAACTCACAATGCTGAGCTCATGACTTGAGTCGAAATCAAGAGCCGGATACTTAATCGACTGAGTCACCCAGGAGCCCATGAAATTAAAATTTTGTTTATCAATTTATTAAGTGCTTTTGAAATCATGAATGGCTATGGGGGGAAGAAAAGACATCTCTATGCAAAAACAACTGGAAAAAATCCCATTTCTTATATGATAATGTAAGCAATTTTCTTTTTTTTTTTTTTAAGATTTATGTATTTATTGGAGAGAGAGAGAGAGATCATGGAGGGGAGGGGCAGAGGGAGAGAATCTCATGCAGACTCCCTGCTAAGCCCAGAGCTCAATGTGGGGCTCAATCTCATGATCCTGAGACCACCACCTGAGCCAAAATCAAGAGTCAGACTGAGCCACCCCGGCACCCAAATGTAAGCAATTTTCTAACTGTAGGCTTAGAAGTATGCATTTTTTTCTGTGATCTGGAAAGCTGTAAAGGAAATCTCTTCACTGAAAACATCAAGGCTTACACCTAGCAGTATTAGAATTATTCCACTTTGAACACTAGTGTGAAAAAACAGCAATTTAATGAGCACTTGAAGAGAAATTATTTCCCTCAACAATTTTTTTTTTTGTGGCTAACGCCCACTAACTATTACTGGTTATTTTGCCCATGGGCATTTTAATTAAAATGCTACTATTCCTTCAGATTAGAATTTAATAATATCTTTTCAACTTAATTTGTAACGGCAAGCAGTCATAAAATGAAAGGTTTTCTGAAACTGCCATCCAACCAGCAAGTAAATCTTATCTGGATATGTCCAAACAACAACAAAAAATGTGGCCAGCGCCTATAAACAAATCTATAGAAAAAAAGACAAATGTAATCACAATAATCTCAATAAAATATTACCATTTAAAAGCACCCATTATAAGTTTTCTTTTTACAATAAAAAACCTGTTACCTAAGGTTAAAAGAATAAATGATTTGTAGTCAAAATATAAAAATGGAATGAAATGCTGCTTAATGTAATTACATCTAAAATTAAAAAAATATATATCACACACAAAAAAATCTGAATTTTCAGATGGTGTATTTTCAAAAACCCATTAGATTATCCAAGGAGCATCTTTACATGGTTATATTTACATATTAGAATTTAGAAAAAGATGAATTAGACATTAAAGTCAGAAATAACTTTATAGATAACCCCAAAAGTTGTTTTGCTTCTGTAGGCACTTAAATCTTAACGTTCATTATTACTATTATATGTATTTATTAGTAATTTTTATTAAATTGCAAGCTTTTGTTAAAGAAATACTTTTAGGATAAAAATTCTTTACAAAAATTCAAGAAACTGAGAATTCTAAGAAAGTCCTTTATTAAACATTCTGAAATATTACAGACCCCTAAAATTAGCCAAAGTCTACTTGACTATCACATGAACACAAGCTCTAAGTTTAAACCATATCAAAAGCAGTCTTCTGTTTGGGAAGATTACAGCTATGCTACCCTAAGTTAACTCTCTTCACTTTCAAAGGCCTTCCCATCCTCATCAAATAGTGATTTGCTTCAAAGATCCATTATATAAGGTTTACCCAAGGGACATAATATCAAAGGAAACTTAACTTTCCATTATAATTTTTAAAAAGGCTAGAAAAGGGGGGTCTTCCTTTTCATAAAGAAAAGTTGGTCCTCTTTTAAAATCCTACTCTGCCATTTTAGTACTAATGTCAGTTACATCTAAGTTCAATTTGTAGAGTTATTACACTGTCCAGTGTATAGGAAGAAAGGAAATGGATACTTAAAGGATTTAACATGGTATTCATAATGGAACTTGACCTCTGTCAGGTTTAAAGACTGAAAAAAGAATGTTCTTTTACTCTAATTTTCCATTTTAGATTCCTCAGCTAACAGTTCAGGAAAGAAAATTATTAATAGAAGCCAGAAGTTGAAAGAAGTTTCAGAATAATATTTTAGTGAAAGAACAGATTAGATTGGTTTCAAATGGAAATGTTTAAGAGAACACATACATGTCTAATCACAAATGGAGGTTTATCTGTTTCTTTTTTGAATTCATAGGGTCCCAGATTTAAATGGGCCAGCCGCCGCCTGGTGTCTTCAGATAGCTCACACATGCGTCTTTTTGTGTAGGGAGATGGAGAGTGTGATTTTGAAGAAATTGTAGGCTGTTCGTAGTTTTTTGCATTTATGCAATATTTATTTCTCTCAGGTGACTTGGATTTTTTCTTTTGTGATCTTGATGTTGATGTTCTGCTTTGCAGTCTGCCATGTGATTTTTCAACTGGAGCCGTATGGTAAATAAATTTATCCTAAACATAAAAAATAAAACTTAACATGGGTAGAAGCTATATGTAGAGATATATGTATAGGTATCTATAAATTACAGGTAGAAAAAAACTTTAAAAATTAATTTAAGGCACATATAACCCATCAAAGCCAACTAGTCTTTCCTATCTATGCTAGATAACTCTGTCTAGTAGTTAATAAAGTACCTGGTATTCTTAAGTCTAACAAGTACTTATGAAAATAAAATCCCAATATTTAATCATTGGAAAAATCTAAGAAACAAGGTCAGAAAAATTAGTTTTCAGTGTACTAAAAAATTAACATGAACATTGGTTTATCATTTGTAATTAAGTATTCAAGTAACTGGCTATATAATTTAAGAGGGCTTTTTTTTTTTTTTTAAGAGAGAGAGTATATGAATGGGGTGGGAAGGCAGGGGGAGAGGGATGGAATCTTAAGCAGACTCCACGCTGAGCACAAAGCTCAATGTGGGGCTCAATCTCATGCCCCTGAAATCATAACCCCAGCTGAAATCAAGAGTCGGAGGCTTAACTGACTGAGCCACCCAGCGACCCAAGAGGGCCTTTTTAGTAATGTTACAAATACACATGGCTAATTAGTTGCTTATGAAATCTTTATGGAGAAAATTATTAAAATAAGTTTCATTTATACTGCTAAGATTGAATACGTATATACAATGTGAACATCTGAAAAACAGCTTTATACATATTTTCATGAAATGTATTATTTGGATTATACAAGGTGATTAGGATCTTAAGATCTCTTCCAAACTAAAACTCTATAGGTCAATGACCAACAGCCATATCATCTTAATTCTGGTTCCATATTTTTATAAAAGTAAAAAGACATAAAAGACACACATAAACTTTAATGACTAGTACTCTATTAGTAAAACTGGTTAGCAGTCTAAAATTTTAAAAAACAAATGTTACATTTCTAAAATTTTTTTGCGTTATTAGGATAACATTTTATTTAGTCTCTGCCTTTTGAGTGCCTTAAAGTTTGGATTACAGGTAAATAAGACCTCTTGATTCATTATCTAGAATTAAAAGATTTCTAATATTACAGAAAATGGACAGTTGAGAAACTTTGTCTTCCTAACTTTAATCATTTAAAAAACCTATCAATCCTACCTCCTTCTCTATTTTCTCAACCCCTCCTTCCCTAACTCGCTAAAGGTATCTATTCTAAGTAAATATTAAAACATAAATGTGATATAGAAGGGAAAAGAGTCAAATATTTTTAAAAAGTAGATAAACAGGAAAAAAATATATTTTCCTAATTGGAAAATAAGTCCATGAGTTTCATACAAACCTGCAGCATCAGATTATTTCCTCATCTTTCCTCTACAGCTGTCGATACTCTCCCAGTCCTTCTCCCATGTTGCTCAATGACTTCAACAAGTAATTCAGAACTTCTCTACCATATCACACTTCATCTATCTCTATGACATCACACTGATGCACAGAAGCAGGAATGTTAGCACATGCAAGGGCCTTTGAGGTGTAATAAATGTTCAAGCAGTGAATCTTTCCAAGACTTTGGACTCAGACTTCTCTTTCTCAGCTTTAATTACCTTTTTCCACCTCATCTTAGAGTTTATCATTATGCAGATCCATTTTTTCTCAAACTCTGAAAATCCCTTGCTGACCAAAACTGCTTTTCCTCATTCTACTTCTTTTATTCTCACTGAATCTGCTCCCTGACCTCCTCACTTCCTCAGTCCCTGGACCTCTTTTTTCCCAGACCTTCATACATTTTTAATATCTCTTACCTTCAGACCCAGATGAACCCAACATCATCCATTTCAGCAATGCTGTAAAGTTCCTCCTTACCTACCTCTGATTATACCAAACCTAAAACAACTAACCCTACCTTCTTTCTTCATTACAATTTTTGAATGTTGAATACTATTAGAAGTTATAAACTGTGGAATATGTAGTACAGATACACGCTAACTCTATCCAGTCCTTAATGTATTCTGTTACTGCCCAGGAAAACTTGAAATAGTGGCTGTTACATGCTGTTAACACAATGGCTCCCTCTGGCTAACAGGATACTAGCTTGGGACAAAAAGAGAGACTTGAAAAAGTGCTATTGTCTTTTATTCCTTTTTGGAAACCTTCCTGCCTCCATGTGAATGAGCCAAAATTAGCCTACTAGATGCTGAAAGTCTTGTGGCCACCATCCCAGCTAAAATCAAGCAAATTATCAGAAATATAAAGTCCCTCCCAGACCAAAAACTCAGCCAACTACCCGACATGAATGAAGCCATCATAGATCATTCAGCCCTAGCCTCGCCAGTTCAAAACAAAAGAATCAACCACTCAATCCAGACAACTGTCAAAAAGTTAGTGTTGCTTTTTACAGTGAGCAAAAACTACCCGATCCAGCATACAAATTAATAAAACTACCATTGATATTTAACCATTAATAATAAATTCTACCTTTAGTAGGTAAAAAGAATAAGTAGAAAACTAGTTTTATTTCAGAAAATCACAATAATATACTTAATTTTTTCAATCCATCTAACTGGTGACAAGACATCAATTTGAAAATAATATGCCAAAAGGAATAAAGATCATTATAACTATTTGTAAACTTAAATAATTTTATAGTTTATTTCACTCATTCTGCTTTTAAAAACCAAAAAGGCTTGTCTTATTCTTATGTTTGAACCTGAAAATGCTGCTTTGTAGATATTAAAATTTTAATTGTAACATTAATATTCACTTTTTAAAAAGCAGATTTATCACATTCTTAAATAAGGTCAAAGAAGATTAAAATTCTGGCTAAAATTTTAATGTGTAAGTGTATACTCTGTTGTGCCTACCAGATAATGTTTTCTATCTTGTATTTTAACTATTGTCTTCTCTCCTAATTATTTAAAAAAAAAAAAACCTTAGGATCAGCCATCAAATTCATTAATTATATGTTACGTGCCAGACACATTGCCTATTCTCTAATTTAATCTTTAAAGCAGCCTTGTGAGGAACTTGAACCCAGATCTGTCTGATTCTGAGGCATATTTTCTTAAACACTGTCTGACACCAAAACCTATCCTATTTTCTTACATCTGTTCAATAAAGAAAAAATGACAAACACTGAAATAGCAAGTTAAAAAAAGAAATGAGTCTTCTCAAAAGTTTACGGAGGAAAACATCAGTTCCTAAAGTCCAATGAAACTAGTGATGAGGGGACAATTTTACATTTACGAAAGACTTTCCACCAAGCTGTACACTTAGAAGGTACTTTTCTGTGCATATGCCATAGTTCATACAAAAAAAAGACTTTTCTACCTACCCACCAGAAGGACATACCCCAATGAGGAGAGAAAAATTTTGTCTGAGTGCAGGTAAAATACTGTTAATAATTTACAAATATACACAGTTTTGCACAACTCAAAACAAGTCAGTAACATCTTTGCATTTGGCAAGCATAGTTTGTTAGATCTCTAATAGCTGCATTTCAGCTTGCATTTCAAAGATAATTAACTATAGCCAAACTGGCACACTACGTATCTTGCTAAACAAAATAAGAATGATCCCCTTGATAATTTTATATAACCACGCTTTACCTTTCTTAGCTTACGTCACTGTTACCCTCCTCAGCAAATTTACTCTGAAACTGAGAACGCAGTAAATTATTAGTACACTCTTTCCACCATAGGTCCAGTTCTGCCTTGTTTGGGTTCTCTGGGCTTTATATGTTACTGGCTCTTCATCACACACTGGTCATTGTTACCTAATCATAATGCAACTGCATATGAGTGATGCCTAGACATTATTAGATTACCTGTGGACAAGGCAGTAAGATGATCCTGGTGACTCAGTAAAAAGTTAGACAAGAATGAAATATTAGGTCCAGATATCTCAGTTTACTAAAGGCAGTTTTTACAAATATAGAAGGTACTGAGGTTGGAGTGTCCAAGCTTCCCTCAGTCTGATAGCATCAGTATGGCCACCAAACTGAGCAAGAGTCGTATAAGAATTAGAGACACTCAAGAAACCATACTCACTAAACACCAATATCCCTGCATGAGAGAGAACCTCTGGTCACATTTGTTAAAAGGTATCCTTTGAACTTTCTGCAGTCACCTGTAACTTCTGTAAGATTTATAGAAGCCTAAGATCTAGTTCTCTGTGGGACTTCTTGATCTCAACATCTTTCTGGCAGGCTGATTGCTTTGCATTAAAAAAAAAAAAAAGGCCATGGAGTTACACAATAATAACACTAACATCATGGCGCCATCTATCATGTGTACCAAACTCTTCACTCTCACATTTAAGATGCAACCAAACTGCTAAATAGCTCTGATAAATGTTTTGCTTAAAGATTGACCCCCAAAAGTGAAAAGAGTTGCAGCCAAAATAAAAGAATAATTCTTGCCCAATGCCCATAAATATGAACGAATAAGTTAAACCATTAAACACTTTAAATAAATGAGTTCAACCTGAGTGCGGCACTTCCTTGAACTTATCAGACATTCAGTAATCACTGAAGTTGTAGAAAATTCCAGCTTTGGAGCAATTCCCTGAGGGGAAAAAGGGTATTATTAGATATTTCAATTTTTAAAAAAATATAATTATTAGTGATAAAACTATGACCTGAAGTAACAAACACTTGTCAAGATTTAGCTGTTTTCATTTGTTGGTTTGACCTTCTTATTAAAGATAAAGACAATACAGTGATGCTAAATTTTAGCAAGAAACAGTTTCATTGCTGATGATTCCCTTATAAGTGATATTACCTTTATGTAAAAATTAATACATTTTTTCATTTTCAAGTATTTCCCTGTCAAATTATTCTAAGATTTTTAAACTATGATATAATATTAAAGTCATAAATATATAAAAACACTTAATGGATCTGAGCTCTTCTTACTTTTACAAATTAAGACATACTTAACTACATAATCAAGAAATGCTTTGGAGAGTCTCCTCATGTTAAAAAAAAATTATAGCTTCTAGGTATGCAGTTCTTGAAAACAGAAGAGAGAGAAGTCTCTACCAATACCTCCAACATTTTTTCCCATAATGTATAGGTTATACTCAGATCTATGAATGAACCTGGCTTCTATTTCTCACAACATTTCAAACATCAGCTTGAATACTGTTTTAAGTGGAGACAAATGGTAAAATTCAAAGGAACAGTCATGAAGCACCTGCCAAGATATTTGGAAGCACACAAACTGTATATTCACTAAAGCATTAAAAGGTATTGTGTATGCCCAGTGCAGCTTCATTCTAATATAGCAGAAGTCAGATATTTGTCCTTTACAAACCCAGCCTTTGACATACTAACTTGAGAGTTTCAAACATCATATTACAGAAAAGGTAAATAATGAGTTAGTTGCCTAAGAATTAACTAAATGATTGCTTTTCTGCAAACATAACTTTTATTAATGAAGTCCATTATGCCTCTGTTAGTTATCTATTGCCTCACAGGATATTAGTTAGCAGTTTAAAACAAGAGTAAACACTTATTATCTCAGTTTCTATGGGTCAGGAATCTGGCAGAGGTGGAACTGGGTGGTTCTGGCTTGAAATCTCTGAGGCAACTGAAGTCAAAAGGTTGTTTGGGCTGCTGTCATCTGTAGGTTTGCCTGAGGCAGGAGGATCTGCTTCCTAAGGCTTGTTCACATAGCTGTTGGCTGGAGGTCTCAGTTCTTTTCTAGATTTTAGCAAGAGGACTCAGCTCCTCTATCCCATAAACCTCTCCATAAGACCACTCCAGTGTCCTCATGCCATGGGCAGCTAGTTCTCCCAAAGCAAAGCAAGAAGGAAGCCATAATCGTTTTTATGACCTAGTCTACTAAATCTAACACTGTCACATCTATCACATCCTACTTATTAGAATCCTTGAAGTATAGCCCACACTCAAGGACAAAAAAGTTAGACTTCCTTTTCAGAAGAGGAATATCCCCAAAATTTTGTGGACATATTTTAAAACCACCACAGTCCACCCTCTGACCACAAGTTACACTCCTTTCATGTGTAAACTAAACTCATGCTCTACAAAGAAAAGAAGAAAAGTCTCATCCTTTTACAACTTCAGCTTGAAATCCAGGATGTTGGCATCTAAGTCAAATCCTCATCCAGCCTCCTCGGATGTGGGTTCTTTAAGGACAGTTCCTTTAAGGACAGTTCTTTAAGGCCAGTTCCTCATAGTTAGAAGACTTACAAAACAAAGAGACAAGTTATCTGCCCCACATGTACCCAAAGCACACACATGCAGCAGGTGCAGGATAATCACTCCAGATGTTTTTATTCAAAAAGGGAGTAAACAAGAGTCAAAGGGGCATCAATGGCCCATGGAAATTCTAAAATCCAGCCAAGAAAATGTTAGAAGTTCCTTGATTAGAAGTTTAGTCCTGTTCCTGCCCAGAAATAACTATCCTTTGGGCTCCTCTGGGCTCTTGCTTCCAACCTTTGAATTATCACTCCTTTCCAAGGAGAAGTAGACCATATTTGGAGTGCACAGTGTTCTGAGCATGAGTCCTGTCAACAGAATTTTGGGGGTCCAAAGGCCTTTTCATTTTGTGAGATCTCTCTGCATTTCAGACCAAGCTGGTGGTGTTTCTACCAACATAATGCTTTTAAAAAACATATGGGTTCTCATATGAATCTTACTGAAGTTCACTCCATTAGACGCGAGTTGCACCCTTCTCTACACTCAGCTTCTGCTGAGACTGCCCTTTAGCATCTTTGAAAAACCCGATTGATTAAATTATTTTCTGAGACAACATCTTGGAACTTTCTGAAATTTTAATGAAGGATTTTATAGTTATACCTTTGGTTTCACCATCAGACCACAATTTCCCAAAAGTGCCTGGAATGAGTTTTGCTCAGAAGTCATTCCTTAATTTTAACATTATTTGCCATTGGAAAAGGCTGGGAATCTTCAGAAACAGTAAATTCCAATTCCTTTTTGCTAAACAGCCTTTCCTTTGCTTATCTCACTCCTCTCATATCTTGCTATAAAGCAGCAAGAAAACCAAGCAGACCCTCTAACTCTCTAACCAAAAGTCTTAGACACACCATCCATTTCATTAGATATTTCTCTCTTCCCCCATTACCGCAGGCGACTGTGTGGCTAAACTTTCTGCCATTATATAACAAGGAACCCTTTTATCCCTAATTTCCAAAAGCATTTACCTTATTTTCCTGCAAACACACATCTGAGTTTCTTCAAGACCTTTCAAGCTTTCACAAACATTCTAGCAAAGCTTTCCCAGCTTCTGCCTCCCTATAGAGGTGCTTGAATGTCTTCACACATGGCAGTTGGCTTAGCCCAAAGTGACTGATACAGGAGTGAGAGCAAGGAGGAAGCCACAGTGCATTTAATGACCTGGTCTCCAGTCTAATACTGTCACCGAATCACATTTTATCTGTTAGAGTCACTAAGTATAGTCTGGAGAGTTAGCTCTGCCTTTGGAAGACAGAAGTATCAAATCATCTGTGGACATATTTTATAACTACCATAGCCTGGATTGCAACTTAGCACTTTACCCTTCCCCATATATTGTTGGTCACATAGTAAATACTCAGTGTTTTAGCCATTATTTTCACTGAGCTTTCAAAACCATTATGTATTAGTTGGGGTTCTCTAGGAAAACAGAACATATATATAACTAATATATAATATACTATACTAATATATATATATATATAGAGAGAGAGAGAGAGAGACAGAGAGAGAGAGAGAGATTTATTTTAAGGAATTGGTTCATGCAATTGTGAGAGTGGCAAGCCCAAAATCCATAGGGCAATCCACAAGCTGGCAACTCAGACAAAAGTTGATACTGCAGTCTTAAGTGTGAAATTTGCAAGCAAGCTAGCAGGCTGGAAACTCAGGAAGTATTTCTGCGTAACAGTTTTGAGGCAGAATTCCTTATTGTTTAGGAAACCTCAGTTTTTGCTCTTCAGGCCTCAACTAATTGGAATGAGATCCACCTACATTGTCAATGGTAATCTCTTATACTTAGAGTCAACTGTTTGTAAATATTAATTACATCTACAAAATACTTTCACAGTAACATCTAGACTACCGTTTGGCCAAACAACTGGGCACCCTAACCTAACCAAGTTGAGGCATAAAATTAATCATCACTCCATCCAAATGTCAGCTCCTCTATGAAGTCTACAAGATGTAATTCATTCATTCAATTCAATCAAGTGGCATTTAAGTACCTACTCCATGCAAAGTACTGTCCTGAGAGTTAAATTCAAAGATGAGAAAGCCACAGATTCTGTTTCTATGGAGTTCAGTCTAAAGGGGGTATTATCATCAGCACTGTCATCACCTCGACAGCCATCACCATATCACTCTCATTTATGGAGTGTTCTCCGTGCCAGGTACTGCTGTAACCATTTACAAGGTGTCATTAATCCACCCAGCAGCCCTCTGATATCTTCATATGATAGTGCTTCGCTCGAGTTTAGTCAGGTAGTCTGTGAGAGTGCCAGGATTTAATCCCAGATGTGCGGAATTCTTGCCACAGCAATGGGTTCAGGAGAATAGCCTAAGACTCAGACAGATATCACAAGAATTCTTTTTTTTTTTTAAGATTTTATTTATTTATTTGACAGAGAGACACACAGCCAGAGAGGGAACACAAGCAGGGGGAGTGGGAGAGGGAGAAGCAGGCTTCCCGTGGAGCAAGGGGCCCGATGTGGGACTTGATCCAAGGACCCTGGGATCACGACCTGAGCCGCAGGCAGACGCTTAACGACAGCCACCCAGGTGCCCCTGTCACAAGAATTCTGAGGAAGGATGCACTGTCATTTGCCAGGGCAACAAACTACTGATGGGAGTGTTTTATCCATTCACATTTAAATACAATAATTGTATGACTGGATTTATAGCTGCCATTTTGCTGTACACTTTATATGTGCCATATCTTTTGATTCTTCCAATCTTTCTAGGAGTCTCACCTATATATATATACATAGCTTGGTAGTCATTCCATGAACCTGTAAGGGTTCCACTCTTTGTTGATTATCTGTACGTGGCTTGGGGAATGCATTCAGAGATAGTCAGGTCTGCAGTTTCTACTGAGTTTCACTTGTTGCTGGGATCTCACAGCCTCGGTCTCTCCTTGCATGTGCATTGTTTCAGAATCAGCCAGGAATGGGTGGAGAGCTTATCTCAGCCCTTTTACTGCTCCCTTACTTCTGTGAACTTTCTGGCAGACGGGCTACTCACTCTAATTGGAACTGCCACTGGCCTATCAAAGCTGTGGTGTTTCTTTCATCCACTTCCATCTGAATCCAATGAAGCCGCACTATCTGTCCTTATGAGTCTGACACCAATTCCAATGTGTGGGTTTTCCAACACCACCAAGCAATTCTCTGTGACACCAGGTAGGGGTCCTATAATTTAACTCAGTTCTGACACTATCTACCTGGCAACAGCATCAGATCCCAGAGGTTAAGGGATCAGTCCCACAAGACTGCCCAGCCCACTTCAGATGCAATCACAAGACTGGGTTGTTACCTGTGTTCCTGACCAATTGGGTATAATTTGGAGGTCCCCATGACCATCTTCCCTGGTTTAATTAATTGGATAGAGAGGTTCACACAACTCAGGAAAATAGTTTACTGTTTACCAATTTATTATAAAAGAATATGGTAAAGGATACAGATGAATATCCAAATGGAAGAGATTCATGGAGCAAAGTATGTGGGAAGGGACATGGAGCAATGCCCTCCCCAGGGAAACCACTCTCCCAGGAGCTGCTGCCTCCATGAGTCCAGCAACCTAAGAGCTTTCTAAACCCAGGCCCTTTGGGCTTCTATAGAGGTTTCATTACATAGGCATGATTGATTAAATCACTGGCCATTGGTATTTTAATGCAATCTCCAGCCTCATCTATCCTCCCCAGAGGTCAAGGGGCTGAAAGTTCTAACCCTCTAATACCAGGGTTGTTCCTCCTGTTCCTCCTCCAGCCCCCATCCTTAGGTTATATAGGGGCTTTCCAAAAGTCACCTCATTAATATAACAAAAGACACCTTTCTTGCTCCCCATCACTTAGAAAATTCCAAGGATTTTGGGAGCTCTGTGCCAGAACAAGGATAAAGACCAAATATATATTTCTTACTTTAAATCACAGTATCATAGTCTCACTCTCCAAAATTGATTCTGACTCCTCTGGTAGCAGAGCTTCTGATTTTTCTGCCCAGCCCCAGGACTGGTGAAGCTACAATTCTCAGTGGCCTTGCAGGGTATGGAAGCTGTCCCAGGCAAGAAGGCCACATGCTGCCGCCATTTTTATCCAATGTTTTAGCCATTATTTAAGCATAAACACCCTTTTTTTTTTAATTCTAGTTAGTTAACATACAGTGTAATATTAGTTTCAGGTGTATAATATAGTTATTCAACACTTCCTTATAATATCCGAACTTAATCTGTCTTAATTGTCTTAATTGCCAGTTTCTGGTGTCCTGAAATTGTTTTTTGTGACGATTTTGTCCAGTTTTTTATGGAGAGAGGAACTGCCTGTTTTTTATGGAGAGAGGAACTGCCAACCTCCTCACACCACCATTACCAGAAGTCTTACTTTATATATATATATACACACACACACATATATATACACATACATATATATATATCTATGTATTTTTTGCCTTAGTAATCCAACATCTGAATGTATGTAAAAAACCCAAAGTAAATGAAGAAGATACTTATTAATGATCCATACTTTTATGTTTTTATTGCCAATTTGGTATAATACAGCATTTTAAATTACTTTCAAAACACCATAATTTTAAAATCAGATTTTTTTTTCATTGCAGGCTTCCATACATTTGCTGAAACACTCTTTGAAGGTTTTTATAATATAGAAGATGGCTAATGGACACTGATAATATCCCAAAGGAAGTATATTTTCATAGATTTGCTAGTTAGTCAACTTTTACACTTCTAGCAAGCTGAAGTTGTTATTTCCCAGAACAGAGCATATCATAAACCTAGACCCATAGGGAAAAGTATTTAATTTACCATACTAGCTCATATATCACCCCACTTTCCTTACTCATACTATTTTAACATTTTATAAAGGTAGTAAAAAAATGTTTGTCCAAATTATTTCAACCTAGACATCTTTTGCTTTTTTTCTTCTTTGAAATAGCAGGGTCTTCTCTCAGTTTCTCTAAGTGGAAGACATTTTCAGGGATAAATATATTTCTAAATGACCCAACAAAAGTTGAAGGGAGTTGGGGGAAAGGATGGAAGAGTTGGTTGTCACAATGCAGCTTTCACTTTTAGGTATATAAATGTATATTTCCATGACATGAACATACAACAATTAATCTATCCAAACTCCTACTAATGAACATTTAAATTATTTCGATTTTTCACTATTATGAACAATGCTATCAATGAACATCCCTAGGAAGGCTCTTATACCAGAGAGAATACATCTCCATGAAACATACCTAGAGAAAGGCTATGAGAATCTCTGCTTTTACTAGATAACTCTGAATTGTGGTGGTTCCAACTTACATGGCATAGCAGCATGGAAGAGCTTCCAGTTTTTCACACTTCTAATATGGTCATATTTTATTAAATTTTATCAACTTTATGGCTATAAAAATGAAATCATAAGGTTGCTTTAGTTTGGATTTCCCTATATGCTAATGAAATCGAGCACCTTTTCAAATGTTTATTGGTCATTCTTTTGCGAGAACAATAAAAAGAAGAGACAGATAGGGAAGGTGGAGGTGGGAGGCAGAAGGAGAGGAGAAAAATCTGAAGAATATAAGGCAAATTAACACTTGTTAATTCTGGATGAAAGATGGGCTTTGTTCAGATTTCAGTATGTTTAAAATAACATCATAATTTCATAAAAAAATTATGTTTTGAACCAAATTAAACTTTGAATTAGTTCTTCACATTTCAGGTATTAAAGCCTATGTGGTGGTTTTTGACAATGATCCTACATCACAGACTGATTGAGAAAATACACTTACTCGAAGGCCAGAAATCCTCCTCATGGTAACCTGGCGGTTTGAATCATGGTGTCCAGAAATTTGGTTTGGACCCGGGAACATGAAATCTCGTGTATTTTCATCATACGTAGACAAGGTTTCACCCACTATAAGAAAGATATCCTATGATTCAAATTATAACAAAATATTCTATTTAGAAACAATATGATCAAGTACAATATATATAGTGCCTGATGGCTTACTGAAATTTCTGCTTCAGGGTCATTTTTTTTTTCTATGAAAGGAAAATTAAAAGAAAGTTATGTTAAATGGATTCCTTATTCAGAAATGTAGTACATATTACTAATTCTCCCTCCCCTTTTATAGAAGGGAGATATTCATATAAATTTTGTGAGTACCTATGTGTTTCTAGAGAAAAAAAGTCCTTGTAAACATATCAAGTTGGTATGACATTTACAAACCTAAAATGTAATTACCATCTCCATAAATTTTTCCTGTCTTCCATTCTTTTCTAATTGCCATTGTAAGACATTAGGTTACATGTTGGAAAAAAATGTAGACATTTTCTAGAATTTGTGGTTACCCAAATTAAGTACACATGTAATATTCAAAATCTTTTAGATTACTAATTTTTAGTAACATATAGCTCTCCACTTTTCACATAGAATAATTATTTAAGATAGATTTCTCCTATATTCACAGAAGTAAATAACAAAAATCAAGTTATCCTCCATATTTTAATTTTAATTTTACCTACCCCAGAGATGTGTAATGTTTACTAAACAGTTAAGGTTTTATTCCACTCCCCATTCCCAGTAACAGTCAACACACAAAAACAAAGATAATTACCTTATCAATAAAAAAAGTTGTTTGAGAAAAATCACAAAAACTCAAAGTCAATTTTTATGAATGTCACAAAATATGCTAGGATGATAGCATATAATTCTCCACCTTCCTTTATTACTATTTATTCAGTTTTAGAATATGTTCAAATACAATTTATGCCAATTGTTATGTATTTATTATTTTGATCTATTGCTGTTCAATGCATAGTGGACCAATACTAGAAACTCAACTTTGTTCTTAATTTGGGAAGAAGGGGAAAATATGTATTTTTAAAAAGCATTCTTTGACATGGGTTTGCACATCAATTATCTTATCAAAATATAATACAGTACCTGGTGGAACTAGTTGAATCAACTCAAACAATGCTGTATCATCTGAAAGTTTAAAGAAAAATTTCCTTAAACAAATTAACAATAAACAAAAATTAGTTACTTTATCATAAAAGTATCTAAAAGTCAAAGTAATTGCTGGGTATACTACATATATGTTTATATCTTAGTATATTGTATATATTTTTTGGTTGCTATGTCTTTTAGGGCTTTATTAATCAATAGTAGAGATTGTCCCTTCAATCTCTCTGGGGATTTTTTCCGATTTTTTTTAAACTTTATCTTTTTAGAACAGTTTTAGGTTTACAACAAAATTGAGAGGAAAATACAGAGATTTCCCACATATCCCTGTCCTAGCCTCCCTACCATCAACAGCACTCACAGGAATGGCACATTTTTTTTTTCCAAGGATGAACCCCCACAGTCACATAATAATCACCCAAAGTCCATAATTAACCTCGAGGCTCACTCTTGGTGATGTATACTGTCTGGATTTGGAGAAATAAATGCATAATGACATATTCCATCATTATAGTATCATTCATAGTATTTTCACTTCCCTGATTTTCCTCTGTGCTATATCTATTCATCTCTCTCCTCCACTTCAATTTGCTCCGACAAGCAACCACTGATCTTTTTACTGTCCCCATAGCTTTGCCTTTTCCAGAATGTCATATTAGAATCATACAGTATTCAGGTTTTTTGCATTGGCTTCTTTCACTCAGTAACATGCATTGAAGTGTCCTTCATGTTGTTCGTGGCTTGACAGCTCATTTCTTGTAAGTTCTGAATAATATTCATTGTCTGGATGTACCACACCTTATCCATTCACCTACTATGGGCACCTTGGTTGCTTCCAAGTTTTGGTAGTTACAGAGCTGCTCTAAACAACCTTGTGCAGGTTTTTACATGGACATAAGTTTTTAACTCCTTTGGGTAAATACCAAAAAGGGTAGTTGCTGGATTATATGTTAGGAGTGTGCTTAGTTTTGTAATAAACCACTAGTCTCCAAATTGCTGTTCCATTATGAATTCTCACCAGCAATATATAAGAAGAATTCTTTTTGCTCAATACCTCACCAACATTTAGTGCTCTCAGTGTTTTGGATTTTGGCCATTCTAGCAGTGTGGTGGTACCTTGTTTTAATTTGAATTTCCCCAGAGACATATGATGTGGAACATCTTTTCATATGCTTATTTGCCATCTTTATATCTTCTTTGATGAAGTATCTGTTAAGGTCTTTGGCCAATTTAAAAATAATGTTTGTTATTTTATTATTGAGGTTTAAAAGTTCTTTGTATATTTTGGATAAATGTCCTTATTAGTATTTTAAAAATATTTTCTCCCAATATGTGGTTTATCTTCTAATTCTCTTGATACTGTCTTTCACAGAGTAGAATTTTTAACTTTTTTAAAAAAGATTTTATTTATTTATTTGACAGAGAGAGACATAGTGAGAGAGGGAACACAAGCAGGGAGAGCAGGAGAGGGAGAAACAGGCTCCCCACAGAGCAGGGAGCCCGATGTGGGGCTTGATCCCAGGACCCTGGGATCATGACCTGAGCCGAAGGCAGACGCTTAATGACTGAGCCACCCAGGTGCCCTGAATTTTTAATTTAAATGAAGTCCAGCTTGTCAATTATTTCTTTCATGGATGATGTCTTTTGTGTTGTATCTAAAAAGGCATCGTTGTACTCAAGGTCATCTAGGTTTCTTCCTATGTTAGTTTCTAACAGTTTTACGGGTTTTGTATTTACAATTAGGTCTATGATCTATTTTGGGTTAATTTTTGTGAAGGGTGTACGGTCTGTATCTAGATTCATTTTTTCGCATTTGGATGCCTAAGTGTTCCAGCACCATTTTTTGAAAAAACTCTATCTTTGTTCCACTGTATTGCCTTTGCTCCTTTGTCAAAGTCAGTTGATTATATTTATGGGGGTCTATTTCTGGGCTCTCTGTATATCTTTATGAATATAAATTATGTCTTATTTCTTAAGCAGAACTGTGAGGACAGTGGGATATATTATATAATTCCTTATATTTTTAATATGTCTGAAGTATTTTATAATACATTTATAAAAATAAGAATAAAAGATGCACTGTGTCTTGCCTCCCATTCCAGGACCCATGAAAAATGCATAATCTCTTTCCTTCTTTAAATTCTGCCATTATCATTCAAGGGAAGTCTCAATCATTTAACCCAATACCAGTACATCCAATCTATGAAGAAATATTAAATACTTCCTACAGGTTATAATTTGTAATAAGAAAAAAACCCTGATATGGCCCTTTTCCTCAAGAACCTTACACTGCATTGAAAATGTAAACATTAAAGGAAATAAACACACAAATTATAACTACAAACCATAGGTGCAATGAAGGCACTGCAGGTAGTGCTATAAAAGACTATATTAACAGGACCTAATCTAGTCAGGGAGTCAGAGAAGCCTGAGGAAGGCTCTTTAGGATCTGATCTATAGCATGAACAGGTGTAAACTGGGGGGACTGGGGAGGTAGAGTTTTTACACTTGATCTTAGCCAAAAGGCCGAGAAGCGATGGGGAGGTAGAGTTTTTTAAGCAGGAGAAACAGGATGTACAAAGGCTTTAAGCAGAACACAGCAGGGTAATCTGAGAGATTAGGTGTTTGAAAAATAATCCTTCTGCAAAAATCAACTTGAAAAGGTAAACAATGAAAGCATGAGAGACCTAGCAAGATAGGAAAAAATTATGTTTGAAACTCAGTGTAAGAAGGAAACACAGAGAAATAAGCCTGGCATTTGAGGCTGCTTTTCATTTTGGATATCTGACAGTCCTGATAGAGGTAGCTTAGAGGCTGAGAAGCTGAACCTAGCTTTTGATAAATTCAAGTAAAGGACCAAAAATTGGAGTATCGTGGCCTTAGAAAGAGATAGGAGGGGAGGTGTGCTTGTAAGAGACAATGGGCTGATAAACTGGCTAGGCTATAAGACTGGACCTTGAAAAGATAACTACAAGGGTAAAGAGTAAACTAAAAATAGATAGCCAACACTATATACTGAATGTTTGTATTCCCCCCCCAAATTCATATGTTGAATTCCCCCCAATGTGATATTTGGAGTTGGGGCCTTTGGGAGGTAGGACAAAGCCCTAATGAGATTGGTACCATTATAAAAGAGACCCCCCCCACACACCCCCAAGAGCTTCCTTGCTCCTCCTCTCACCTGAGGACACAGAGAAAAGATGGCTACCTACGAACAGAAAGGCAACCCTCACCAAACACCAAATCTGTTCACCTTGATCTGAGACGTCCCAGCCTCCAAAACTGTAAAGAAATAAACTTTCATAGTTTGTAAGCCACCTAGTCTATGTTACTTTGTTACAGCAACCCAAATGAACTAAGACAGCCAACTAGTAACTAAGGGCTAAATCTGAATCATCCCAAATCCTGTCTGAATTAAGGTGATCCACAATTGCTAATGCCCCTTAAAAATCTGCCAAATTAATCAGAAATCTTTTCTAAAAGAAAATATCATCATCTAAGTTTTCAGATTATTTCAAAAATTTTTACATTCGAAGTCTGACAATCAATGAAAACTGACCAAGTATACAGGAAAAATGAAAATTGGGATTGAAAAACAAGAAAAATAACAGACAACAAAAACAGGTCGACAGAAGATCCAGAAAAATAAGTTATCAGACTGGGACTTAAAATATGCTTAATACGCTCAATAAAATAAAATGCAAGGTTGAGAATGTTAGTAGAGAACTAGAAACTGTTATGAAGAACCAAAGGGAAATTTTTTAACTGGAAAAAAATAACAACAACAACAAGAAACCCATAACAGGTAGATTTATCAGCAGATTATAAATGACCCTGGAAAGATCTACAGAATTAGAAGACAAAAGTAAATATCTTGAGAAAAGCACAGGAAGCCAAAAGGATGCAGAACATAAGAAAGGGGGGAAAAGGATACAGTAAGAGGGTCTAACAATCTGTAATTGGATGTGCAAAAGGAAAGAAGAGAAAGGGACAAAAGCAATATTTGAAAGGTTAATGCCTGAGAATTTATTTGAAGAAAGATATCAAGATACAAACACCAAGCAGAATATATGTTAAAATATACATACACATACATATACACATATATACAGGGTTGGGCACATCAAAGCAAAACTACAGGAAAAAAAGACGAAAGAGAAGATATTAAAAGAAGCCAGTGGAAAATGACAGAATATCTTTAACGAAATAACAATAAAACTGACAGAGGATTTCTCAACAAAAACTTAGGGAATGAAAAGACAATGGGATAGTATTTTCTAAGGGCTAGGAGGCAATAATTCCAAGTTCAGCAAAACTACCCTTCAAAAATTAAGATAAAGATATTTTCAAATAAATAAAAATCAAGATAATCCATCACCAAAAGACCACTGAGAAAGGAACTGTGAAAGAATTTTCTTCAGAAAAAAGCAATAAACTAAGAAAGAAGCTCAAAAATGAAAGGAAATAAAGAACAACCAAAAAGGTAAAATATGGTTGTAAAGTAGGGTTTGATAAGTGAAGCATGCGTTCTGCAACCTCTATGGTAACCATTGAAAAAAAAAAAACAGTAAGGAACATGCACCTCCACAATAATCAAGGAGTAGAAATGAAAGAGCAAAAAATAGAAGAAAAAAAGAACAATAATATTCAATAATCAGAATAAAAAGTAAATAGTACTATGGTAGATTTAAACCAAAATATATCAGTAAATACATTTTTTATGTAAACTTTTTATTTTGAGATGAGGATTCACATGCAGTAAGAAGCAAGACAGAGAGACTGCATATACTTTTTACCCATTTTCCCCCAATGCAAAATATATCATAGACCACCCCCTTATCTGTGAGGGATATGTTCCAAGACCCCCAGTGGGTGCCTGTAATCATGGACAGCACTGATCCCTATATTTACTGTTTTTTTCTTATATATACATACCTATGATAAAGTTTAATTTATAAATAAGGTATAGTAAGAGACTAACAATAATAATAAAGAAGAAAAATTATAACATACTGTAATAAAAG